TTGGAGGCCATTACTAGTAGTAGCAAGAAGCTGCTAGGTTGGAGGCCATCGCTATTAGGTTGGAGGCCATTACTAGTAGTAGCAAGAAGCTGCTAGGTTGGAGGCCTATTGTGTTTGTTTTCACTGCGTTTTAGGCAACGTCTTTCTGGTGGAGTTTGGTTTCGACTCCAGCAGCCCCGCCGAACGCCTCAGTGCCGCAGCCACTGAAGCACCCCAGGCGCAACAGCGCCCGGGGTGGTGCTTAAGCGCAATGCGTACGTTCATTCGTTTCTGTGCGCACGCTGGGTATAGTATGGACTAAAATCATGTTTTCAAATCGAGCGCCGAAAAGTATCATCCAAAGTGACTTGGCCACCCCCGCATGCCTCCGCACGTGTTGAAGGTTCGGACGCTAGTAAACTTTATGGTCGACTACTTTTTGACCAACCTTGCTGGAAAGGAGAATCTTGGCAACTCATTTAGCAATCAAACAAGTTGAATGCGCGCAGGCCCCTCCCTTAAGGCTTCTACCGGATCAGATTGATTTGCTTGCAAGTGGTATGCTTGTGGTGTACCAAAGCAGTGTGGTATTGTTCACTTGACCATAATATCAAGAGCAGCCATTGGGCAACCACATGCTCCTGACAACCCAAGGAATGTGCTGCAGATTCACTTCCAATCCATTACCACACTGATGCCTAGTGGATATTTTCTTCTGGAAGCACCTACCGGATTTGCAATTCAGGACTGCCCAGTCGCATTAGCAATCGCCTTGAACAGGATGGTTTCGCAAGGAGTGGAGCTTCCAATCACAACGATGGCAGGAGAACTGTGCTGTCTTGGAGAGTTTGGCATTGGAGGAGCCCTTCCAGGCTTGGCCAATCGCATTAAAGGGCCAGCAAGACATGACCAACCTCATCCAAGGATTTGGCTGCGAGTGGTGCAAATCTCCAGTGCAGCAGCCTGGTGCTTTTTACAACCCAGCATGTACAGGTGCATGGGAGGGGGTATTCTTGAAGGGCCTCACAGATGAGTGTACTTGAAATGCATAGCAGTACTTGTTTTTAATGGAAACATGTTTCCTTTCTCAATTTCTCAGAATGTTTGAAAACATCAATAACAACCTTTTGCTTTGTTTTTATTTCGCTTTCAGGTCACCATCTCCGTGTCAAGTGGCACGGTGAAGGCAGCCGCCTATAGCTTTGGCCTCAGCGCCCGAAACCCTCTTGTGCCGGAGCGAGGCAAGGAGAGAGAGCGACAAAGCGAGCGAAGGGAGAAACGTCGCTTCTTGTTCCTAGTAGTAAGGCCAGGAGCCCCTAGTAGCGTCCTTGCTCCTAGTAGCTATGCCAGGAGCCCCGCTCGCTCGGCCCCTCCGTACTTAGTAGGTTAGTAGGTGCCTTATTGGGAGAAACTTGTTCGCTCCTGGGACGCTACATATGGACGTAGGATATTATCCTAATGATTTGGTTCCTAGATTTTTAGGGAAACTTAATCTTTGTTGAACATGACACAAGAGTCAGAAAAAGTGTCCGAAAGAATCTCGAGAGAACAACACACCTGGAGGCCTTCTTTGGACTATCTCCAGCTTTGCGAATCCGCAGCAGATTGCAGACCTGAGTTCCACTGTGGAAGGCAGAAGCCACGGGATGACATGATGTCAGTCAGGTTGCACTGGCAAGTAAAAGCGACGTTGGCAGTTTAGATTCCGGATTTGTTTGGAAACTCTGTGGTAAGAAAACATGTTCAAACATAATCACAAAACATGTTTCATTCATTCCAATTTTCAGGTTTTCAGGTTGAGACGCCAATGCTCTTCGGTGCATTGTTGGGACGTGACAGCGGCATCAGCTACAGCGCCACCCGCCGTGATGATCACCCTGGACAGGCCGAAGGGACCCGAAGGGAGGTCGAATGTCGAGAAAAAGCGTGGCTTTTTTATGTTCAATGAAAAAACAAAAAAATGTCCACAATGTTCCTGATCAAGTCAAAGCGGGTAAGGGACAAGGGAAATCTCCTTGCAACCCTGAGAGTGCTTCAAGACTCAAATGATGCTATACAGTATACGTTGCTCATCTAGTTGCTATATATATAGATAGAGAGAGAGAGTTACTGGAATTTCGGGATAATTAAATACTGAGACGGACCGAGCGCTAGGTGACCAACGTGATCCTGGCTTTTGCTCCTGTGCTGAGAAGAGTGATGGGAATTTGAGTGATGTGCGAACGCAGTACTTTCATGTTGTTCCTTTTTAGAAGCCAAAGCGGTCATCTTGGTTCTTCGGCGGAACTGCTTGTGTTGGCTTTAACATTACCGCATCGATTCGTCATTCCCGACGTTGCAAGGAACTGAGCAACACACCCTCGTTTACAGGGGCAGCGACTCTTGTGGTGAAGGCCCCTCCAGGCTCCTTGGGCGTGCACAACTGTGGTCGTTTACATGAGACATTCTTGTGGCCAAGCGACTGGCAGCAAGCCATGACTAAGGTTTTCAGTTCCCTTCGCTTTGCAGCTTCATGGTCGTTGGGGACTGGACATGCGGTAACGGTTTGGAAGCTTCTGGTCCAAGTGCAGACGCAAAGAGAGCAATGGAAAGAGCGAAGAAATTGGAGTTGCAAGTGGCCGATGATTTGGTGTTTTTGTGTCACCAGCTTCGCCTGTCGAGAGGACATCTTTGGGGATGGCATCCCTTTTCCTGCGATCTACTTCCCTTTCGATCCAAGCGCAGTGGTTTCGAGTTGTCAAGGCACACTGGGGAACCTGAGGGCTATTGGTTAACTTCCTTTAAAATCTAGGAGCAAATCATTAGTCCGAGCGCTTCTTCAACGAAGCTTCCTTAGGGCGGCGGGGGAGCTTCCTTGAAGAAGCGTGAGCTATCCTGCGTCCAGTAGTTAGTAGCTACTTAAGCTACTAGCTACCTAGCTACTACTAGCTACTTCCTACTTCTACTCGCGGCCTACCCCCAAAAATTATCCCGGCAAGCGACCCCAAACAGTGTGTGTGTGTGTGAGGTCTATAAGCAGAAAGTGCAGAGATCTAGACGCATTGGTGTCCAGAGAGGTGATGGTGGTGATGAAGGTGGGGATCGTGGTGACGGTGGCGGTGGTGGTGAGTGAGTGAGTGAGTGAGTGAGTGAGTGAGTGAGTGGGAGGGAGAGCTGAGAGTGAGAGCGAGTGTGAGTGTGAATGTGAATGTGAGTGAGTGTGAGTGTGCATGTGAGTGTGGGTGAGGGTGAGGGTGAGAACGGTGAGAGTGAGAGAGTGAGCATCTGAGCGCACAAAGTGCTGCGCCTGCTACGAAATCTGCACTTCGAGGTTCACAAAGTGCTGTGCCTGCCACGAAATCTGCACGTCGAGGTTCACGAAAAGTCGGGCACGAGGTTTCTCTTGCACCTGCCACCAAAAGTCACCACCACGTGCAAAAATGCGCACGGCGCCACAACGAGAGCGCAGTCGTTAGAAGCACCCGCCGCGGACACCCAGATTCAGCGAGCCTGTGCAGTCGAAATTCTCGTGGACGATTTCGAGAGGCAGCGATTTAGCCGGACACGCCCGCGCGCTTCAGCGATCTAAACACACCTGCTTTTCTACTACCGTAAGAACCCCTAAGTGCGTCCACACCGCTTGGGGAAAGACAGAAAAAGAGAACTTTGATTACAGGTGAAACGACTCCTAAGGAAGTTCATTCATGTTCCGGTCTTCGCCGCCAAAGCTTTGAGAAAAGCGAATGAGTTTCGAAACGATGAGCCGGAGCAAAATTTCCCTTAATGAGGTTCTCAAAGCTGGACTGAACAGGAGTTGTCCTGTTTCGCTTATCAGTTTTTCAGCACGTGTCTTTCATCTAGAGTTCTTTAATATGGATTTTTTGCAAATTTGCCAATATTTTGTCGAATTTCTTTTCATGTTCTTTCACATAGAGGATGGAGCTGTTGAGGCCATGGCCACCGGGCAGAGCTGCAGGTTGGCTTGGGGCTGCGAGCCCAGCGGCGCTACGTGCTGCGCTTGGAGGTGGTCAACCCCGAACAGACATCCGCTACGTGGCGCAGAAAAAACGAAGCGTAGGACGCACAATAAGTGGTGCGATCTCCACACCCTATTAGGTTGGAGGCATTTGGAGGCCATCGCACCATCGCGAGTAGGTTGGAGGCCATCCCTATTAGGTTGGATGCCATTGCTAGTAGGTTGGAGGCAATCGCTAGTAGGTTGGAGGCAATCGCTAGTAGGTTGGAGGGCATCGCGAGTAGTTGGAGGCCATCGCTAGTAGGTTGGAGGCCATTGCTAGTAGGTTGGATGCCATTCCTATTAGGT